GACGCCGCGAATATTTCATCCCCACTTTACCTTTGTATATTTTTTGATTGTTCTTATCCATTTGAATGATATGTGTAGAAGCGACCCAGAAGTAAAAGTAGAAGAACAAACAAGGTAAAAGACAGGAAAAGTGTTGCTGTAACTGATACATTTTCGCGCGTTGTCGCGTGCAACTCAGCGGGATGCCCGCTTCTCACTGCCGAAAAAAAATAGGGTAGTGCTGATTATTCTTGAGGGAATTCAAAGGGTCTAGAAAAATCTCGAACATTCACAGAAACACTGTGGACTGCACAGCTAAGTGTACGCCTTAAAATTTTTTTGACGGCAAGCTTTACTAGACAAAAACTAAATAAGTTACTGATGTTAGTTTGTTCTGTATGATGAGTAGAGTGAGAACAGAATCACCGAGCAATGTGGAGCGAATTAGACCAGCAAAGAGAAATAGTGAAAACAGTAGAACTTACCGTGTACATCCCCTGATAATCTAGCTTAATTGATTACAAAGCGTGCACAACTGAATACAGGCTCACTGATCGTGAATGTGTTCAAGATTTTTTCTAGACCCTTTGAATTCCCTCAAGAATAATCAGCACTACCCTATTTTTTGGAGTAGAAGACGCATCCCGCTGAGTTGCACGCGACAACGCGCGAAAATGTATCAGACACAGCAACACTTTTCCTGTCTTTTCTCATGTTTGTTCTTCTACTTTTACTTCTGGGTCGCTTCTACACATATCATTCAAATGGATAAGAACAATCAAAAAATATACAAAGGTAAAGTGGGGATGAAATATTCGTGGCGTCCGAAGCGAATGTGCGTCCTACACATAAGTGCGTTCTATACTCCAGTAAACAATGGTCATTAAAAAGTGTTTCGTGGAACACTTGCAGCTACTCAAAATACATCCCGAAGTCTACCTCGCACCCGTTTTTTTTTCAAGGCGTCCCGTCATTAGGGTTTTTTGGTTTTTTGATATAGCTAATGTGTGCTTAGCTTCTAAGAATATCTGTCATCGCGGAGCCCCGCTCCTCCCTTTTTTCTTGCTACTTCTTGCTTTCCCTTCCTTACTTCCCTCTCTCTGTTCCTTCCCTCAAATGTTCCCTCAAATGTTGCAATGAGAAAGTACCACGGACTCTCGCAGCGAGAGCATGTCTGGTGGACAGAGGCCCCTTTACCATGCGCTTGGATGTCTCTCCCCTTCATTTATCTGGGCGCAAGCAGGTCTGAAATCAAATTTATAGTCTCAAACACTGCTTAAAGACAGCCCCCGCGCTCAAGTAGTCGTCCTTCCTTGTGCAGGTAGTTCAGCCCCCAAGCTAGATACTGTCCCACTCTCGCGACTCCACAGCGAGCTACAGCCGCTCAAAGTTCTAGTTCTAACGCCCGTTGGACCGCCCCACTTGCTAGCTGCCCTCTGACGGCCGCTCAGTTGTTCTTTGTTGGGACGGCGGGCATTAATCGGAACTGCATGTACTTTTTGCTGACCGCGCTCGTGCCCATAAATAATTCTGCTCTCCTTCATCACATTTTATTGGGAGCACATACAGTCAACTGCAACCCATCTCGTAAGGTAAAACGCGTAAAAATCACGAATGATGCAATTTCTGTGGTGCAAAAGCTCGACATGCACCAAAAGCTGCACACTGCACGTAACCCAAATTCGGACGCCAGGTTTTTGAATTTTTCCTTTTTTCAAGTGTTTTTCGTTCGTGTCTTTGTTGTTTTTCATATTCTTTTCTTTGAATGGATGTTGTCCACTACTGGGAAATGCCATAAAGCGATTTGTGAGCCAGGGGTTGCCCACGGACCGCAGGGCGGTGTAACTGTAAGGGAGCAATTTTGTTTGTGGTGTTCTTGAGGGCTCTTGTTGCTTTTTTCCTTCATTGAGGAATTACTCAGCTACTGTTTCATAATTGATCAGCAATTATCCTTGACACTTTTATCGCGGGAGCTGTCTTTAAGGCTTATATTGTTGTTCTATTCGTTCTGCTATGCGTTTAATCAACTATGTGAACCGCATAGCTCAACTATAACTTATACAAGATTTATAGTAGAAGCGAGCCTTCTCCAGTATGATAAAACATTGACAGGAGCTGCTTCCAGCACTCCAAGAAATTATTGTAGATTTCCTTGTATTTCGTATCATTCCTGTCGCTGAATTAGTGCCTCCGATTTTTTCATTTGCACTTTCGCTGAGGGACTCGTTTCATTACGATCCTTTCCAAGAGCGTTACTTATCACAAGAATTCCCGAGCTAGAAGTCTTTTTGGCTTTTGATATGCTATGCGATTGTATTTTATATTGGCACTTCATGTCATTATCTTACTTTACGAACTAAGAGAATAGCATGGGAGCCTCCTCTTCTAATGTCCTGAGTCACGAGATCGATATCTCCTTTTCGCTTTGGCACGTAGTCCTATTCTTCTACTCTGCTAAGTTGTAGACTATAAACGCAAGTTCAACATGCGCTTTTAGATCGCGCTTTTAGATCTGAGTGTTCAAAGTTAGTGTTTGATTGATCTGTTCCACTTTGTTTTTTCAGCAGTAGCACATTTCATGAATTTCTCCTCAATTTACTAGAATGCTAGTTTGGTAGGGTACCGCTCATGCAGCACGCTGAAAATGGGCTGCTCGTTAAATATTCTGAACTGGATGCGGTCCGCAGTGGGGTCTTGCTCCTATTCTCGCTCTCCTGAACAACCTACATTTTTAAGCGGTGTTAATTTGCAGTTAATTGACCCTATAAACTTCCAAGTTCTGCAGCGCTATTCGCTCAAAGGCGTAGTTTGTTACTCGTTCCCACCCCTATAGGCGAAAACTAGTAATGTCAGCGGAAACCGATCGGAAACGCTACGGGGAGGTGTGATTCATCCATCAGCTTCATCTGGGATCCTTTTTAGCTATCTACAGCTTGATCTTTGGCGATTTATGACCAATGAACGCTTATGCATGAGTACTCAACGAGTCGTAGCGCAATGCTCGTCATGAGTTCGTTCTATGAGTTAATCTTTGACATTCCAGGGAAAGCACAGATAGTAGCGGAAGAACTGTAGTGGAATAGCCGAATAAATAATGTCGTGGATAGTTTTCGGCCCATGAGAGCTTTTTTCTCAACATTTGTCCTCTTCACCTCATGGGAAGGGGCGTGGAGATTACTTATTAATATGTTAATGAAATTATTCAAGAGATATGTGCGTGAACGTTAGTGAAACTGCAAAAGGTAAGGGAGTAAGAGTAGAATGAAGACTTGCAGGGCACGTCATGATTGAAAGATACTCAGTGAGAGGGGTCGTTTTAGGTCTCCCAGATAGGTCCACATGAGAAGATGTGGGAGTTCTGGGAGTAAATGGAGTTCTTACCTGCCGTTAGTTTTATACCTTTCTAGATAATTCCGACCGACGAGATTCTTCCGGGCAATTGAAGGTTAGAGAAGGTAAATGGATACGTGAAGTCAGACTCTTAGGTTGAAGAGGGCCGTTCTAGAATTAAAGAGGGGAGTGGGCTAATGGGAGAGAACCGTGAGGCAAGTTTGCCAAGTCGTGTCCTGCTTGACTGGGGGCTTTACTGGGAGCTGACGTCGTGCCTCCAGTAAAGCTCAGTGGAAGGCTACAGCAAAATATAAGCCAGAATATGAGCAGAACTATCTTATATGATTTCAGCTAAGAAATCTTGTACTGGCCCGATGTTCATCGAGGGTCATTCTAGATGAAAGTAGGTTGTTTCAGGCAACAAAATTAATTTAGCGAAATATGCTATAAGATCAAAATGTGATCTGCTGTGCCTTTGCTCGAAACTTCTCCCATTATGCAGTTCTAGTATTCGCCAGTGACATCTGTTAGTTGTATATCTATTGCGCTTGGTTCTTATACGGTGAAACAGATCTTGAAAGAAGTTTTTTATCGCTGATTCGAAACATTACATGAAATGAGCGCAAATTATCATGAGCACTTTACTGTGACTATTAGTGAATTGACTGATGACTGTTATTGTCTATATTTCACTTTTTAGAAGCGCATGGAGGAGTTGAAACGGCATCTTGACCGAATGAAGTTCCACATAGGAAAACTTGAGGTAGACCTATTATTCTGTTATTCGCTTAGTTATTATTGAGCTGACACTTGTGTAGTATACTTACCTTAATAAGAAGGTCCCTTTTAGATATTGTCCCAGTAGATTCAGAACTAAGTTTCTGAACAACTTCAATTTTTCTTGACTGGAGACTTGGATCTTCTCTACATTGTCGTGGAAGTTCAAAAGCTGCTCAATTGCTTCTGAAATCCTTTTTTTGTCAAAGTGGGATCTCCCTCAGTTGCCCAAGAACTTCTAGATCGGTCCTGTGCAGTGTAGTTCGAGGTTCTCTGGGCATTTAAAACAGCGTTGTGTCGTGAAAGGTTGGGTTCATACAGAAGGGCTTAAAAGAGTCGCGGAGTCCGCTGAGAGAGAACGTATACAGATCTGCCTTGAGAACCTGACGAATCACGAAATTTGGAGAATCGGGGAAAAGCAATTGGTAGAAGTAGAATGCCCAGCATACTTCCGTGGGTTTTGAGAAAACAGAATTCAAATCAATACGTGTAGATCTATGGATTCCGTACTGCCGGTTCACCTCAGTCAATGTGTAAGATTGCGGAAATACTTGGCCAACAGTTGAAAACTGATAAAACTGATTATGTTCCTGAGACAAGTGCACGCCATCGCTTTGTGATCATTTCCTGAAAAATACGACCCCCCTAATTCTTTCCTCAACCCCCCCCCCTCCCCATGCTACCTACCACTTTCCTAGATTTTTGAACTTCCTACCACTTTTTCCATTTTTTCCCGAAAAATTTTCAGTTTTTCTGCCAAGAATTTTCCGTCGAGGGGGGGAGGTCGTCAGGAGTTTGACACTAGCTTTTCAACTATCGAAAATAGTAGTTATATAGATCTCTGGCAGTCCCTCTCTCAACAACGGCCAAATACGACCCCCCTCTTTATACCGTCCGTGAAACAAGAGAAATCAACTACCTTTTCCTCCCCCCAAATACGACCTCCCCTCCCAAGCGGTCAAATACGACCCCCCTCCAGTTGTGATCATCACAACGATGGCATGCCCTGCCTGGGACGTTATCGAAAGCGGCATATTGCCCCCTTCTATCCATACATATAAAGCAGAAGGCTGAAGTACTGGCTTTTTGAGTGGTGATATTGTAACAAGTGGAAGTGGTATACCAAACTTACTATTCGCGGGATAATTTGAAGGAAAACGGTGCAAAGAAAAAGTTTTTATTGGAAACCCATTTTGAGTTCTGAATAGGAATTAGCGGCGAAGGAGAAAAAGGGAAAAGAGGTTGTGAATTTGACTTTTACAAACGCTATGTTGCTGTTGTCATAGGTTTGCATGCGAATGGTAAACAATGAGTCTCTGGAGTCTAAGCGTGTCATGGAAGTGCTGAAAGATCCGTTGGAAATGTATATCGAAGCGCTCGATCCAGATTACGAAGGAGATGCGGACGAGTTGGATAATCTTGATCCGGAAGGTGGCTTTATTTTGAATTTTCAAATGTTGACCAACTGGTGATCGCGATTTTGTATAGCCCTTTGTAAAATGTTCCCTTCTAGATGCCTATGAAGAGTTGGATTTGGTTGCGCTGAGTGCCCAAATTGGAGGGATACAAATCGGTCCGCTTGATGAAGAGAAGGAGAACGGTGCGTTTGAAAGAAAACTCCATTAGACACAATGATTTACTCGCCGTTTCAAGGTCATGACAATGGGTCAACTCATGATAGTTCTGGTGGCGATGATGGCGTTTCCCGAAGTGGTGGTTCGCGACATGGCAGTCAAGACACACCTGCTAGTCCTGCCCCACGTAGGACCGTGGCCGCAGCTTCTGTCCCAGTCACACCCGCAAAGTTAGCGAAGTTAGTTAATAATACGCTGCAGAGCGGCATACCTAGAGCACTTGAACACCTCTTAATCTCTTCAGAGATGGATCGGTGGACACTGGACAATTAAACTCATTGAGTGGTGTTAATCAAGCTACGCCTCCTCCACCGCCTCCTGGCATTCCGTATAATAGTGTAGCCGCAGGACGTATAGCTGCTTCATCTTCAGCCACAAACGCTAGCATTTCAACTATTTCACCGACTGCCAATGCCAATGTAGCCAGTACAAAGACGACCGTTATCGCCACGTACGCATCCATCCCTTTTTGTATATAGTCTTGTTCGCTGCGCAAGAAGGGACGAGTCAAGCGAGATGGTTTGGCGCGACGCCAAACCCATTCTCTGCCGGTTATTCAAGCGAGCAAGAGACTGCAGTTAGTGCAGAACGAATGATAGGAACGACACGACCCACACTTGTCGCTTGCTCGCTTCAGCAACTAGTGGAAATTGGGTTTGGCGCCGCATCAAACCCATCCTGCCTGACGCGCCTCTCCACACGAAGCGAATAAAACTGTAGTCCGCAGTTTACACTTAAGCTGGTTTTTCAGAAGACCCGGTGCAAATAGTACTGGTGGCGTCCAGTTAGTTCAGCTAGTCACGTCCACATCTACGCAGCAGAATTCAACAAGCGTCCAGGATGATGATGCCAGCTCTACTATTTCAAGTCAGAACGAGGTGAGTGAACTGATATCGTCCTGCGTTTGCTTATTCTTATGAGTTATCGATCAGTTTCATTTCTATCGAATCAGTTTTGATTATAATCTAGAAAGTAGCCTGCTTGAGTGCATTCATAGGATAACAGGGTGAGAGTATCTGCACAATTAAAATGTGCATAATCTTCATTTTTCTGTTATTTTTTCAATTTTGCCCATATAAGGTCTTAAAGGGGTTCAGGGTGGTGCCATATCTTCGGCCGAGGCTACGCTGAACATCCAAGATGATTCCATTGCATCGACAACATCGACTTCCACAACCGCGAATGGCACATCGTCAGAGGTGCTGCTCGTGAGAAATCGTAGTAATAGTGTGCTATCAAGAGTGGGGTCGAACACTGCTCACAAGATTTCACGTTTTTCGAATGCAGAAAATGTATCGACCCTACGACTGGAGAGACGTGTCGTGATGTCTCTGTAGATATATATAGAAGTAGATGCAGAAGTAGTTATGAGGCATGTGCTGACATTGGCCGTTTATTTTTTGTTTTGTGTTATGCGCTAGTGAATGTGCGCTGATAGAGGTGATGTGATTGTGAAGCTTGTTCCTTATTTTGATATCGCCATCGTTTTCTGAAAATTGAAAACATTATGGTAAATTTCAAGAATCCATCGCTGAGCACTCCAACTGCGACAGCCGCACAGCATTTCGCATTCACCAACGAACTGTACGCGGCCAATGAGGTACGCCTGTACTATGGATGACCCTTTTATTATTTGCTTTAAACGCAATAACGACTGGAAAGGAAAAGTTGAGCTGCTGGGTTCAGTGAGCAGTAGAAGCATTGGGAGTCTATCAAAGACGAACTGTTATTTTTTGATAACTGCTGTTTAACGCCGCAGTACGCGATACGAAAGCTATCACAAGAATGCTGAGTTATGGGCAAAAGTCGGACCACGGACGGGATTCGAACCCGCATCTTCTGCTTACCGGGCAGTTGCGGTTCACTGCCGATATCGGCTCATCACGTTGAACGTGTGAGTGCTGTAAGGCCATGGCACAAATAGCCATGAGCTGAGTGGTCAATTAGTGGTCCTCGGTAGCGTAGCTGGTGGAAACGCCAACTGCCCGTGTAAGCAGAAAAATTGCGGATGGTTCGAATCCCGTCCTGTTGGTTACGGAACTTGTGTTCAAAGAGAAACTGTTTATCTTCCTCCGTCATTGTCGTCTTAGCACCTTTGTGAAAGTGAATGTGTCCGTTAGTCAGTAACTGTACTCATTTTCTTACCTCGCTCACAAGTGTCGGGAGACGGGAACGAAGGATGAATGGATACCGCCGTATGGGTCTTTACAGTCGTTCCTGGCTCAGAAGGTATCAGAGGCACCTGGGTAGGTCATACGCACGTCTATCCCTCCACTCGTGCCTTTCAAACGAAGAATATTCACACGCACTACTGGTGCCAGCTGAAGAAAACCTCGTCTACCTTCTTGTTGCTCGTCTTTGAAGCGAGTATACAGTTGTCTTCAGACGGGATGAATGAGCTTCATTGAATTGTATCTAGAAACGTTCCTATCTATATAGACCTCTTTTTTATTAATAATGTAATTTAAAATTTTTATGTACTTAGTTTGTACTTTTATAATGATTGAAAACATCGATGTCAAAAACTGTGGTATGATTTACTTATATAAAAATTTTTAGAATTGAACTTTGTTCTTATTTTTTATTTTTTTATATTTTAATAATTATTTATATATACCTGTACTTTTTATTTTTTTATATTTTATATAATATTATTTTATTTATTTTATTTTTTTAATTCAAGAGGTGCCCTTCAAGAGGTTTGTTTTTGGTTCATTTTCACTAATATTTTATTTAATTTTATATATATATTTTATTTTAATTCCTATCAATTTCAATTTTTTTCTAATGAAATATGGCAGCTTCGGTAGTGTTCTCTGTGGCATAGAAGCCAGTGTGCTTTTTCCGTAGAGGGTAGGAGGAAATCATGTTGGTTAGAGAATGCTCATAAGCACGTCAAGAGGTGACGCGTGGAATAGCGAGAGATGGGGGGGGGGGGGGCGCTCCATTCCTTATCATCATAGCGAGAACCAGTCATGTAATGTTTCAGAATTACACCTAGAGTCGATTAATGAATTATGTACACCACAAGAAACGAGTTGCCAACGTGACATGAGTCGAACATTGCGCATCACCAATGCAGGCCATTTCAACTGTGCTCTTCTTGTTCCTTCAAACCTTGTGCCCGAGTGTGGACTCGTGCTCGTGCGGATGCCGCAACTCGCTGTCCACTTTCCTATTCAAGCGGTTCGATGAAGTCAGCTTGGCTCTCTCTACGTGAATATAGCGCATTGAGACCTCCTCTCCCTCAGCGGTTATCTAGACCACTCTGAACTTATGGTCTCTTCGATGCCTTGCACCTTATCTTCGTCAGCTCTTGTAAAAATAGAACAGTTACAATTTTTTTTCATAGAAAACTTATTTTGTTCATTTTGCCGTCCTCATTCGAACCACTGTTAGCTTTTTGACGAGAGGGCTTATCAAATGCGAACTTCTACGTTTGTACCTCCTCATATAAATTGAAGTTCTCTCTTACCGTATTGTTGAATTGTTGATATATGAATGTGATAGGTTATTTATTTGGGTGTTTGTGTGTATTTATTTATTTATTTATTTAATGGGCTCGTCGGAGCGCTGCTGCAAATTTTTGGGATTAGTAAGAGCAGACGTACAAAACAGGAATCCGAATAAACTGGGTAGAAAACATACATAAAGCAGTAAAACTGCAGAGAAAGCAATTTTAATGGTTAAGTAAGCGTGGGTTGCGATTTCACGGGATACTGTGCCATCCACTGACATTTTCTCTTCGGCGGTGCATTGTTGCCTGTATGGGATCCTGGAATTAATCGAAATAGACTACAGTATCAGTAAGATTTCTCGCATTTCCGAAACCTCAGCATTAATGAGCACGTATAGCACGTGTTTTCTACTTGTTTTTATATTACCCTATAAGAAGAAGGTAGAAGCGAATGTTTGGGGAAAAACGTACCGTAAGCAGAACTCTATTGCTCTTTTGCCCTATTAGTGCACAGTGATAGAGCGGCATTTACTTAGCTTTTAGAGTGAGCTGGACAATGAAGCATGATAATTTCATTAGTGTAAGATAATTAAAATGGTCAGGAGGTGTAAATTATGGGCTTTCACAGTGCGGAGCGGGTGACAGCGCAGCGAGTAGAAATTTGCTCACTCAGCGTTTTTTAGTTTCGCCATATCGACTCCGAGAGCGTACTGATAAAGTGCGACGTTTTTATGCGACTCCTTAGAAAGTTTTCTTAGTTCCAATTCTATGAGAAATCTGTGGACCACATTCCTTTGGATGTAACTTGTCATGATATCTACGTTTTTTTTATTAGAGACTAAGATTATGCGATCCTGTTGAATTGTTTAATTTGATTTCTCCATTTACTTTTCCCGATGAATCGCATGCCAATCAGATGTTCCCTACACTCTTTTCGCAATCATGATATGGTGCTCAAGCGATAATATTAAGGCTTCTGCTGCGCTGAGTGCTGATGGTAGCACAGCATCCGCCATGGCCGATGTTGTGGAGGGCACGACGCAAAGAACTGTGAGCGAGTCTGGGGGTGGCCGCCGCTCTGGTGATGGTATCGACTTTTTTCTTTGCCTGCTTTCAATCAATTTTTTGAATATTGGCTTTATTCCTTTATTCGTTATTGCTTTTCTGTAATACGGTTTTTGCAGTGACGCTTGATGCTGCCGATGATCCTTTACGGGTACTGCGTTTATCACAGCAAAATCAACAGCCTGCCAATACTGAACCGCAACGGGTAAGTGTCGTTTTGTTTTCTTTGTATTTTTGCTTTTTTGTCTTTTTTATCTTTTTTGTTTTCGTAAGAATCTTGTGCTGATGCAGGAGCTTACCACTTCCTTCAGGCACACATTCCTGCTTGGTTAGGTGCGTCTCCATTGGGTCGTATACCGACTACGAATGAGATGGATATGCAACTAGCCGCATTGGAAGCATCTCTTGCACGCACTCCACTGCCGATGGATAGCGAGCGGCCTCGAACATACTTGCCGAAAATACCATGTCCATGCGCGTCTTACTATCCACAGGTATGTTGCATTCGAACTTTCTTATCTAAACTGGAAAATTGGTCTAAATGATTTATTGAAAGGAGTGCTAGCTTTCTGTCAGTAACGGGGTTCTTTTAACTTGGCTTAAACCGGCCGGCTTCTTGATAGGTAGACCAGCAGTTGTTAGTGCGGTTGAGAATTGAAGGTTTTGCTGTGTTTGCCAGGAATATGAAACACGTTCTCGTGAAGATCATCATAATGCCTTCCTCGCAAGATTGCGCAGCGCAGACGCCTCCTTTGGAAATCTTAGTCCTTTCCGCAAGCATGAAAGATGTACTAATCCCACAGCTCAAAGTGCGTAAAGGGAAG